TCTATTAGTTTTCAATGAACTTCGAACATCATTTAGATAGGATTTGAGTGAAAAAAAATCAAAAAAAGTTTTATTTTAATTCAAGAAAAAAATAATACTCATCGTAGCATAACAACTAATAATAGGAACAAATTGTTTATTATGTCTAATTAGCTTTTTCCAGTAATCATTTGTTGCATTTCATTTGATTCATTCTTATTTCTAAAATCTTTAAAAAATCAAACAATTTTTCATCTGGTTTGATAGAAATAATAACGAATTATGAATTTTTATCGTCAAAATATTATCTAGATAAAAAAATCTTTTTGTGATAATAAATCAAATTTATAATCAATTAACATTATTACTCAATCTAATCTAATAAGTTTATTAATTATCTGTTTACAATTAAAGACAAGAAATGAATGATAACAAGAGAATTTAGATAATTATTTAATATCGACTAAACAAACTGAAGAATATAAATATTAATTTATTTTGTTTATTTATCATGAATATAATCTGAATAATAATTAAAAGAAATACAAAAAATTTTCAACTAAAAATAATTAGTTTGAATGATATCAAATGAATTAAATTTCTAATAAGGTTGTTCTTGATTGATTATCAGATTGAAAAAGATTTTTATCATAGAAAACTTTAAAAATATGAGTAAAATGAAATTTTGAAATATTAATGTGAACAATAAGTGTTTGGTGTTGATGAAATATTAGTATTGAGTATGAAACAAATTTGAAATCAATTTATTTTATAATGGATTAAATGATTGATTACCATTAGGTCCTAATTAAAAAAAAAAACATTATTAAATCAAAACAAAACTTTCTCTCAAATTCTACCTATCTGTTATTTTAATAAGTCGAAACTAAAATTTCAATAAAAAAAATTTTGTCTTTAAATAAATTAAACATAGTAAATTTTGTTCATCTACTATCGGAAGAAGATTACGTGCATTCTTCAAATCGACTTGTACTAAAATAAATTCTTGTATATCAATTATCAAATAATAGATCTGAACACGTATGATGGGAAATATGATTTTGCGACAAAATCATTTTCTTTAAAAGAAAACTAATTTGTAACAAAATAAAAATACGCAAGTGTCAGGGTATTGCGGTAAATTATACCGCTAAACTATACCAATGTACCGCTATATCGCTATACCTCTATACTACTACACCGCTTTACCGTTATACCTCTATACTATTGTACCGCTAAACCACTACACTACTATACCGTTATACCACTACCACAGCTATACCACCAATACTGTTATACCACTAACACCGCCAAAGTTCCTGTATCTCTAGTGCCGCTAATATCTCTCATATGTTCGTCGATTTTTCCGAAAAAAAGTTCCTTTTCGTCCAAATTTGCCGCAAAATCACATTCCCCATTAATTTTTTGAATATATTGATGTTCAATAAGTATTCATTCGAGAATATTGATAAGCTCTTGTGTGGCCATTACAACTAATTAATTTAAAGCAAAAGATTAAAAATTAATCTAAAAGCATAATAATAAAGATGAAATTGTTTCTATTTTAATATATTCTTTTATTTCATTTCTTTTTTCTTCTCTCAGATTAAAATGAGTAGAAAAACAATGATGACATTTTGTTTTTTTTGTTTTTTTTAAATAAGAATAGGAGCAGCTGATGATAATTCATATTTTCATGTTGGTGGTCGAACTTTCGATTTAATTACGCACGTGATTAGTTACTGGTCTTAAAAGTCTTAAAAGAAAAAAAATGTCTATATTGTAGGATAAAAAGAAAAGAAATATACCACGAATTGTAATATGATGTGTTGCAAACCAGTTGTTTGCCGTAATCGATACTCGGTTGCTTGTGACATATTTTATATCATCATCAACTAGCATATGTGTAATGCTAGCAGAAATTATTAGAATTGCATCAGGATCATCATCAGATTGATCATCTGGATGAGATTTACCATCACTTTTATCATCTTGAATATCACCCATAATCATTGCATCTTCGTCATTTTGAAGTTTTTTTTATATCAAAACCTTCTTTTAGTTCAAACAAATAATTAATCATTTCTTGCATAATTTTACTTGGTATATCAATTAATACTGTTGTAGGTATAAAATTGATATTTCGAACTGGAAGAGATATTGGAGGACCATCTGGTACGTTTAAATTGAGATGAAGTGCCTGTGTTACGTGAAATATTTCACTACGAGCCTTAAGGCCAATAGTTACCACCAATTTATTATTGACATGAGAATAAACTAAAAAAACGAAGATAATACAAATTAAATTTGCAAAACAAAAAAAAAGAAAAAAATCTGACTATCTTTTAAACAAGCATCAACATTCATTGCACATGAATTGTTTTGTATTTTTCGAATCAGATATATACCAAACAGACCTGTTAATTCTTTATGTTGACTTTCATCAGCACCAAATAATTTTAAATAGAAATTTTGATCAATCAAAGTAGCCAATATAATAAGTAACGCGACCTATAAAAACAAATTTTACAACTAAACGAATTTATTGTTTTTCTTACCTTTAAGAGATGATCCATATTTCCCTGAGCTAGTTCATTGTGATTCAATTCAGTAGTTTGAGAAGCTGATCGTGTTATTAATGATACAAAAATGGTATTAAAAAAAAGATATTATTTTACATACTTGAAATGTATTTGATAATGAATTGAAATTTATCCGAACTACTATCAGTTAATAATGGAATATTAATACGTGATTCTGCAGGCTTTTGTGCTTCACTAGATAATTGCATAATACTCAAATAATAGGGAAAAACGAAAAACAAAAATATATTCATACATTTGCCAAATAATGTTGATGAAGTGATCACCACTTTGAAGTTCTTGAAGTGCTTTAACTGGTTCAAGTGCCCAGGTCAATCACGCCAGATCGGATCCTGTCGGTCGCAAATAATTCTGGCTGGAACCTATACAAATTTTGCCGGAATCCTAACTAACAGATTCCGACGTCGGATATCGTCGGAATCCGGCAAAATCCGACCGAATCCTGTCTATTCTTGTCGGGTTTTGCCAGATTCCGGCGATATCCGCACCGGAATCCGTTAGTTAGGATTGATTGACCTGGGTGGTGGAATGATTAAAGAATTGATCTGAATCTAAAGATTAATATATCAGTAAATATATTAAATTTTCACACTTACACCAAATAAAATAAGTTGTTTGTCCTCCATTTTTGTAAATTGATGAAAATAAAAGAAGATCAAGAGAGAACGAATAACAGAAAGAAAATATGATTCATATCACATTTCCCAGACAAAGAATATTGATAACCAATTAAAATATATTCTCAAAAATTACTTTTTTTAAAATTTGACATAATTTTTAGCAAACAAAAATCGTTAATCCCTCTAAAACTTTATTTTTCTTTAATTTTATCTTTCTAAAATTTTATTATAGATAGCACCACATTTGATCTTCTATTAATTGTCTTATAAATTAGAACTTCCTTCATTTAAATATGAATTAATGGTGTCAAACATCTAGAACAACTTCCAGACATTTTTCATTATATTCTCTTTTTATCAATACATAATTGATTTATTGCTACAACAGTTTTCTCAATTTATTCATCGTCATATAATTGAAAATAAAAGTGAAACTGTTCTTATTGCTGATTCATTATCGTGTGGTAAAATAAAATTACTCGAACATATTTTTAATAAACATCATACTAACAATCCTTCTCTTATTGAATGTTTATTTATCTTTTGTTTAAATGATTTAATTCATCTTATCGAATCATCAATTACACGAGAAATCTTATTTCAATATAATATTCAAACAAAAACTCCAAGTGGTTATCAAAGTAATAATCTTTAAATCTTATTTAAAATAATTGTAAACGAAAAAAGAAAAAAATTATTTGATTTTTATTCTTGATCATTTTGTACAATTTACATATGAAAAATTAGATTTTTATTGTTTATATATTATTCCATGCTACTTATTCAAATAAAAAATTTTTAAAACTTATTCAATATTAATAATAACTCTGTGAAATCGTTTTCATTATATTAAATTATTCAAAAAAAACATTTAAATTCATGTTTTTAACAAATTTGTTATATTTTATTTAGTACATGATAAAAGTTTCGTCCTTGTTGAAAATTACTTGATCAATCTGCATCACAATCAACATATAATCGTCCATCAACAACACCAAGTACTCAGAAAAGTTCTCCAATAACAACAACAAGAAGTTCATGTACACATGACAGCGCAAGTCTTGTCGTACCAATGATACAATCAATTGATTGTGAAGAATATAATAATTTAATGAATGAATCATTAAAACATGAAACATATTCTGATTTTGTTGATCATTTTATAAAATTTCGTCCAGAATTTCGTGAACAATTTGCTCATTTACATCAAATAAATGAACGACAAAATGCTGTCGAAAAATTAGGAGAATTTAATCAAAGATATACAAAAACCAAAAGATCAACGTTATTATAATTTAATTCAAAGTCTTACTGATCTTTCTTCAAAAAAAAACAAAAATAATATTTATTTTATGTATTTGTACGCTAAACTTTTTTCTTAGTTTAAAATTGAAATAAATTAACACGACAAGGTCTTGAACATCCATCATTTACGTATAAAAGAATGTTTATTAAATGAATGGATATTGGGTTAGCTAGGGTTGGTATCATCTCTAAATCTAAATCAGATAGTAAAAATACTCAGGAAATTATTCGCAAGATTTCCGGTAAAAACTAAAGAGTACAATCGTTTATTATTCATTAACACTTGCTTTCTCCAGGTTGCCCTGATCATCAACAAAAAATATATAGGAAGATGCAGTTTTTCACGGGCTTTCTTTTAGTGCTAAAAGATTTCTGGGGAAGAACTGCCTTGATAATCTTTTAAGGCAAAAACATTCTAAAAAATGGTTATTTTTGCCTATTTTTTGAGTAAAAACAAACATATGAGAGACCTTTTAGACACGATTTTTATTGGAAATTCTTGTTCTATGATAGTGCATCTAATAGATCTAACCAAGATACGCTATTTGATACCAAAAAGTTGGGATCTTCAATAGTAATATATATTGTCCCAGGGTGTTAAACAGAAGTCTCTGCAATTCACCAAAATTTTTAAAATAAGATCCGAGGGTGGTTTCAAAGATACCTTCATATCTCATGATAGGGTTTTCCATAAAGAGCTAAAAATTTGGTTCTAAACCTAACTTTTCACGCTCTTTCGAATGGTGTAACAC